CAGTCCCCCATGACTTCCTTCGGGACCATGTGCAGAGGTGACGCCCACGGGCTGTTAGACGGTCTAACGATACCGAGCTGAAGCATGTGGTCTAATTCAGCTCGTGCTGCCCGTAGTTTGTCAGGAGCAAGCCGTCTTGGTCGTGCGCTAACTGGCTGACCACGCGTGACTATGTGATGAGCGACCTTTGTCATGACTGGCGGAAGCTCTGCAGCTGGTCGTACCAGTCGCGGGTATTCAGACAGAAGGTTCGCATAATCTGACGGTACATCGGCGATTCGAAAAACGGGACTGATTATCGGGGCGTCCGTAAGAACGCCTTCAACCCCTAGTTTAGTATGATCGTTTAAAAGTCTGTGGCGACCAGCATCAACAAGCAACCCAAAATGTCGGAGGAAGTCGATACCGATAATTGCGAAGGGTACAGACACAACCAAGAAAACCCACTGAAAATCTCGGCGAAGACTGAGGTCCAAGTTCATCATGCGCTGACCGAATGAAGCTATCGGAGAACCGTTGGCCGCACGCAAATTGTACCTAGGCTCCGAGTGCTTGTCGTTAGCGGTCGCTGGGATGACGCTGACTTCCGCTCCTGTGTCGATGAGGAACGTGATGGAAGAACGTCGATCCTTAACGTAAAACAGTCGGTTTACTTGGTTATTAAATGATACGTTTGTAGTGCTAGTATGCGGGCTATTCGTTTTCCCTGGGTCGTGCCTAATGCAAGGAGCCCGACAACGTCTAGCTCTTTCACCGTATTGGCGGTGACACCAACATATTTCTTCGACGGGTTTGACATTATCTGACTGAGAACTTGTAAGGAAAATGTTGCGCTTTCGTGCCGAACGTGACGTACTCGGTGCAGGCACAGACGAGCCGCAATGAACGGTAGCCAAAACGTGGTCAGCATTTGACCGTGGCACCCGCTGCTTCGAAGCCTTCAGTGCTGTTATCCTGCTGCGAAGTAGCGCAATTTCCTCGTCTTTAGAGTCAGATCCGTCTGACGACTGGGAGCAAATATAGGATTCGGTTTTCATTTGTAAGAATACGTCACCGGAGCTACTGGTCGTCTGCTGCGGAAAACGTTCGAACGCAGCGTCTGCCGTGGTAGCTAATTCTTTTAGGGGTGTATCTATAAACATAGACAGCAATACGGGCAATGGCTCTGGGAGACGTGCAAACCACAGCTCCTTTATTCCTTCTTCGCCCAAGAATAAGGGACCAGCGATGCGCTGAAGTACGCGGAGCAACGCCGACGGCTTGCGATCTCCAAGCTTGAGACCATTGAGCTGTTCAAATCGAGCTCGTGCGCTGGGCTGTAACTCATTTAAAATCGCTTGCTTCATTGTTTCATACTTTGCCTCATTCGATGGGCAGAGTAGAATGTCCTCAACCAGCGTCACAACCGACGAAGGAAGGCGTGGGACGAGCTGATTGTACCTCGGACGGTCCGCCGTAATGTCCTTATTATCCAGTTGCATATCGAATATCTTAAACCAAACCTCTGGGCTGTGTTCCATGAAACTAGGAACAGCCAAAGTAAGCATGGTTACGCTGTGAAACGACTCAGATGCCACTCTCGAAATGTGAGTCGAAAAGATAAAGGATGAACAAAAACACGATAAAAGTACTTAAATTACGCAAGAAACAAATGAATACAGGTATATAATCAAGTAAGAAGAACGAACTCACCAAAAAGTACAAACGAGGAAAAAAAGTCGAATTCGCGCGTGCGAATCGGGGTCACCAATTTGTAGGACTAGTTAATACTAGTCTGAGACGGTGCGCGAAATTAAACGCGGATATCAGAGGGCAATCGGAGTCGGACACAGCGGACTGTATTCGATGGGCTACAATAAGAAGCAGACGGATAAAGCGAGAAGAGAGCGAACACGTGAGCGCGGGAACTTACAAGGCTGTAGAGTGTCGAGCTGGTTGTAAGGACGATTAAAACAAGAAGGAATAATGTACAATCGGCCAACAAGTAAATTGTACATGGAAGATAAGAGTTATCTTTTTGGGCGCTATAGTTTGTCCGAAGCACCTTGGTCAGGCAAGCTTGATAGGCAACTTTGTTCTTACAGACAGATGCAGTACAGTGGATATTGCACGAGGTTTTAGAGTCATGGTTAACACTGTAGGCTAGCTTTGCTGCATCCCTTATTACATTGCACCTTCGGGTCTTGTTTCTGAGAGTTATCGGAGCTCTCGGGGGACGTATTAGCTTTGGTTCTGAACATCTGTTAACTAAGTAGTTGGGTTTTATACGATTTCTATCCACGCGTTACCATTAGGAACGTTATTGGGGAAATCTCAAGTGGAATTTTGAACGAGTTCTTTCAGGTCGTAGTCCCCTGTGATGAGTTATTTCCCTAGGTTCCGATGAAGACTGTACAAAGTAAAGCCCAAAGAGAACTTTGAATGCTCGGTAAACTGATTTATCTATGGAGGGCATAATGTCCTTTTTTACCAAACTCTTCACTCACATCCTTACAGAAATGTATACATGTTTGCTTCTAACACTCGCAATATGAAACTAACTACGTTTTCACTTCGCATTAATGGCATATCCTTTACTCCTCAAGGTTAACAGTGCCTCTTAGCAAAGTGCTACGCCGTACCGTTTTCCCATGAAGCCACACGTCTTACAGTTTCTGCATTTGCAAATACGATTGTAAACCTATTCGCAAGTTGATTACTGTAGTTAATTGGCACTATAAAACCGCGGTAACAGGATTTAACGTTTTAATTTCTCTGCCCAGACCGTACGTATATTATACGTTTACTAGCCTACAGTTTCCTTGTCCCATCTAGTGCATTTAGCCAGTCTAAGCTTCGTATAGTCTTTACTGTCAACATAGTTTGCTGAGGACTACTGAACTCAGCACCATTATCTGTTTTACCATACGCTGTTAATTTGTAAGCAAACTTCTACTACAGATGGTTTGTGTGCTACTCGGATTATTGTGGGAGATATGACAGAGATGCAAAAAGAAATAAAAGCAATGAATTAATGCAGTTTGACTTTGAATTGTGCATTGAATGATGCCACTACCGCCAGGTATTGTATAGTAAATTCAAGCGGAATGAGGATGAGGCTTTACCTAAGGGGTTGCCCTGCTCACCGAGAGCATTAAGCGGGTATCCATTTCCGTAGTGAATGTTGGTGCGACAAATAACGTCTACGAGATATGCATAGTAGTTTCCTAATCGGAGACAGCACTAGAGCGAGCCGGTGACATAAGTTTCCTGGATCCCCAATTATCGTACATAGTAGGTCACTGCTGTAGTGCCCACCTCTCAATCTGCGACAGTGGTTTAGGATGAATGACATTCTTGTTTGCTCTATCTCAGCATCAGTAGAGTCTTGGTAGTTTAGGATGCCGGTTCCAATATTCGCGACCTAATGTAGCCGAAGTGAGGCAAATTTGCTGAGGAGCTGTTTAGTGTTGGCGCACATACTTGAAAGCTCCTAGTAGTCAAGTTGTGCGTCGGCGATTGCACAATTCAAAGGTGACGTTTCACCGGACAGTCCTTTTTCAATGGATTGTTGGTGACTGGTTTGGTATTATATTCAGCTGTCTCTTTAGCTATACACGTTCTAAACATCTGCATACAACGTAAGTTTCCTGATCGGTCACTTCCTTGCCAGGTTGCATGGGCTCAGCTAGCACACTGTCTCACAATAATTCTCAACGCATTTGGATGTCATATCATTCAATGCTTACAGCAAAAGCTCATAAGGCAGAATGCAAAGAAGCAATTGTTGCCATGATTACTGGCGTCTCAACTGCGCCTAACTAACTCCAAGCACATAGTCAGTCGCAGTCAGTTCAGCGTGTTGGCTTGCAAACTGAATGTTCACATTGCCGTAACATCTACACATGTGTTCCATACTTTGTGTACAACTATACCATTTCCAAGGCACTTTAAACCATAGGGCATTCAACTTCAGCCGTAAGGGATTCGACTTTAACTAATACGCTTACAATTTCGCCCGTCTATGCGTTGGTGGCTGCTTTTGCGTTTGCTGTCGCGTAGCTGTCTTATCGGTTATGCGCCGTCAGCCAATTGGAGGTCGGATTTAGGTTTGGAGGAAAATCTAATCACGGAGGGGGCGGAAGGGTGCCGATCGCAAATGCTCAAGCGTAATTCATCCCTAGGCGATGACGGATGGCAGGACGCGGGTGCGATTAATGAAGCGTTGCCTCATCAGATGCATAGCAAGATGTAGCTGAGACACTGTAGGACATGGGGTCGAAGCATACTCCATGTTATCTCTTTAACAAATCCTGTTGGGGAAAAGAGCAGGTATTTGTTTCGCATTCTATCACAGCCGGTAGCCAATGTCATTGCACGTAAAGTTACCAGGTGCTCGCAGTGGTTTAGCGACTACTCTTGCCACCCGAGGCGGACGTAAAATTGCTGCCTCTCTGGCGGTTTTAACTCCGTAAACCCTCATAATTTTGGAATGCTTTTAAATACTTTGTTTCATATAACCGCAAACCAATATCAAATTATACAGTGCTGCCGTAAATTCAGGAAATTTTATGATTATAATACTCGTGATGAAGATGTACATCTACACTCTTCGCGCATTACTTGAAGCGGTAGCATTGATAACACTCTCCATCGTCAAGTTCGATGTCTATGTTGAGAACTGCGACTGGTGAGCCTGGTTGCTTCAATGACGATCGGAGGTAGTTCGATATGAGTTGACATTTTGAGAATGCGGTCTCACGGCTGGCTATGCTAATAGTTCGGTAAGAAATATGCGCAGCAGTTACCCAAGAGATATTTCGATATGAGGCTTAAAAGCTCAGAAGGTCTAGTAACTTTGCATTTTAATTGAAGCTTTCACAAAATACCGCAATCTTATTCTTTTGGCAAGGATTCCGCTTTTGCTATATCTTCGATGAATTTAAAAACATACAGCCACACTTATTATCAAGCAGATTTAACGGTCTAAGTGTAGAATGCAGACAAGGGAGAACCACAAGGATTGAGACGTAAGTTCTATTACGCAACACGTAGGCTCTATAAGAAAGAATCAGTAACGTAGGAAGGGATGAAAGAAAAGTTACAGTCAACTGTTCGCTTCAGGTTTCTGTCCTTCTTCAATAATGGCGCAGGAGTGTCTTTCTGAAATGCAGACAGAAAAGTTGTCGTCAGAGCAACGATTTAAATTCAACCACGCGCCGAACTAGTTTCGATCACTCTTTACACTGCACCCCTTCTATATAGGCAACGTCCCCGTTGCCACACCAAAGCCCCCTTGAGCTGGTACTTCAACTTCGGTGGCTACTTCTATCGGTGGCTCATTGTGATGTTCCTCATCCGAATGCTCAGATTCGATATGGAAAGGTTTAAGCCGATTAAAGTGTACGACCATGGACGGCCCAACGGCGTTCTTTGGGTCCCTAACCACACAAGTCAGATCAGAAATTATTCGGTCTACCACGTAGGGGCCAGCCCACTCACGATGCAGTTTCGCTGGTATTCCGGATACCGGTGCCTGATGCAAATATACGAGGTCGCCTGCTTTCAACGGGACACCGAAGACCTTCTTGTCGTAGTATTCCTTCTGTCGCCGTTGAGCGTTCGCCAAATGGATGCGTGCCGCTTCGTGTGTGCGTCGAACGGAGTCGAGGAGTTTGCTGACATATTCAACAACCGACGGGTATACCTGTTGTGATCTCGGTAATCGGACATCCGAGGGCAACCGAACTTCTCTACCCGTCCACATAAACGACGGCGTTTGTCCGGTAGAAGAGTGGACCGTACTGCGATAGGCCAATAAGCATTTAGGCAATAACGTATCCCACTCGTAAATGTTCTGGTCCACGAACGCCTTCAAGAGTGACTTCAACGACCGATTCGTACGTTCAACTTGTCCGTTCCCTTGTGGATGGTAGGCCGTCGTTCGCGTTTTATCAATACCGAGTACTCTGCACATCTCCTGGACCAGTGAGCTTTCGAAACATGATCCCCTATCGGAATGCAATTGCCCAGGCGCTCCCCATTGGCAAACCCAGTGGTTAATCATCGCTGTTGCCACAGTGAGAGTATCAGCCTGTGTGATTGGCACGGCTTCGCACCATTTGGTGAAGTAGTCTACCATGACTAGAATGTAGCGATTCCCTCTCGGCGTTTCCGGTAGTGGACCAACAAGGTCTACTCCAACTATTTCATTCGGGTAACCTGCTGTCATGGATTGTAATGGTGCCCTATGAGCAATAGGCGGATTTTTGAACGTCGCGCATCTTTCGCAAGTTTGGCAGAAGTTGACAATGTCTCTTCGTTGGTGCGTCCACCAAAATCGTTGACGCGCCGCCGATTCGAGTTTATTGATTCCAGCGTGTCCCAGCTGTTGGTGCAGTTCCGACAGCACTTCGGTAACTAACGCCTGGGGAACAACAATCCTCCTCAGGTACGTGGGGCCGAAATCGAAGACCAACACACCCTCTTCGATGGCGAGTTTATCCCACATCGCCCACAAGCACCGAGCTTCGTAGCTTTTCCCTTCCATTTCTTTCGGAGCTGGTTTGTCCCTTCCCGAGCGCCGCGCATGGTAGATGAGTGATATGTCGGGGTCCGAAGCCTGTGCCTCTTGCCAACGACCATACTCGGCTTTCTGTAGGTTGACTAGCGCTACGTGTTGCGTAATGCAGGAAGGACAGTTTCCGTGATCTCGAGACGGAATCCTCGATAGCGCGTCCGCGTTGCCGTGTAGTTTCCCAGGCCGATGGTGACATTCGAACTCATACTCCTGTAGTTGCTCCTGCCATCGAGCAATCTGCCCCTCAGGGTCCCTGAAGTTTTGCAACCACCTGAGTGATTGGTGATCAGTCCGTACTAAGAATTTTCTTCCTAGAAGGTAGTGTCGATTTTGTTTTATGAAAAACACCAACGCCAACATTTCTTTCCTTGTCGTACAGTAATTTCTTTCTCTTGACGTAAGGCTTCTACTACTGTACGACACCACTCGTTCTATTCCGTCCTGCCCCTTCTGTGACAAAACAGCTCCAATCGCCTGGTCGCTCGCGTCCGTGTCTAGAATAAACTCCCCAGCATTTGGTGACAGATCGGGGAAAACCAACACCGGAGCTTCACAAAGGGATTCTCGTAATCGATCGAAGGAATTTCGACACTCAACGGTCCATTCGAAGGTTTTACCTTTCTGTAACAAGGTATTCAAAGGCGCAGCGATCTCTGAGAACCCTTTCACGAATCGCCGATAGTATGAGGCTAACCCTAGAAAACTGCGTAGTTCATCAACGTTGGCCGGGGTTGGCCATAATCTCACTTGCTCCGTCTTACGTGGGTCAGTACGAATCCCCATCCCCGAAATGACGTGCCCAAGATACGTTACCTCGGTCTGTAGTAAATGGCACTTTGTGGGCTGGAGTTTGAGGCCCACATTTACTAGGCGTGTTAGCACCTCCGCCAAGTTGTTTAGGTGTTCGTCTTTTGTTTTTCCGTGTACAATGACATCGTCCAGGTAAACGAGACACTTGTGGGGCATCAATTCGTGTAACACTTTCTGCATCAGTCGTTGAAAAGTCGCAGGGGCGTTAGAGAGGCCAAAAGGCATGGTCTGGAACTCATAAAAACCTGATGGTACTACAAACGCCGTCTTCGCTCTGTCGCTCTCCTCCACTTCTACTTGCCAGTAGCCGGAAGCCAAATCTAGCGTACTGAAATAAACTGATCCTCCTAGTGCGTCAAATAGATCATCGATCCTGGGAAGGGGAAAAGCGTCTTTTCGAGTAATCTCATTTAATCGTCTATAGTCGACACATAGGCGGAAACCACCATCCTTCTTTTTCACTAGAACAACCGGGGCTGCCCATGGTGAAGTCGAGGGCCGTATTACCTCCTTTTCTATCATGTCATCTATGAGCTTTTGCAATTCAGTCTGCCAATGTAATGGTATGCGTCTTGGGGGGATTTTAATCGGGATTGCATCCCCGGTGTCGATACGGTGTTTCACGAGATTGGTTCGACCCAAGTCGGTACTGCGCCATGCAAATGCGTCTGAGTGTTTGCGCAACACGTCTTTGAGCCGCTTCAGTGTCTGCTCATCCGTGACTCTGTCGAGTGAGCGAATAAAGGCGTTAATGTACTTTTCACTCTCTAAGGTGTCCTCATAGGTTGTAGATGCTTCCAAAGCACCACCTCCACAGGGTTTTAACAAAACTGTACAGTTATCGGTGATTAGTTGGCACCTGTCCAGATCTAATCGACACTTCAACCGGCGTAACAGATCCATCCCAACAATAACAGCAAACGGAATTTTGTCCGCAACGATAAACTCATGGGTGAAACTCTGTTTCGCGACGTCAACTTGTGCGGTTAGGGATCCCCGAACGGACAAGAATTCTCCATTGGCGGCAGTTAGTCGACAGCGACAAGGCGCGTATACATGTTCTGCTAGCTGATTAGTCAAACTAGATCTGATTAGGCTCTTACATGCACCTGTGTCGATGAGACCTATCAATGGAACCCCTGCGATCTGTAATTCTATTGCTAACGCTGAATCTGTGGTCGACGCACAAACAATGGTTGGTATAGAGTGTGAATGCAATCGGTGCCACTCACCTGGGCGTCCGTTATTGTAGCGAGGTAGACCACGATTCGGAATTGGTCGGCGGGGCCGCCGGAAGTACGATTGCACTGGAGGTCGCGAATAATCCCCTCGAAACGGGACGCGATTCCAATTTCTTCGGTATGGTGGTTGGAGTCTAGCGGGGCGGTGTCGATTCAGTACGCAGCATGTTTCCAGGGGGCCCATGGACTCGTCGACTTGCTCTAATTGGTCTGCCACTTTTAAGGCTGACTGAAGACACGTAGGTCGTCGTAACCGGAACTCTCTTTTTACCGAGGGCGTCTGGATGCCCTCGAGCAACTGCTCTAACACTCGCTTGTCCTGTTGTTCCGGCGGTTCATCTGTGTAGGCATTTATCGCCATCCTCCGCAACTCGCGAACGAATGTTTCTACGTCTTCTCCCGGTCTCTGATACCGGGCATGGAAAACTCTGCGCAGTTCATCGGGCAGGCCACGCCGATCTAAGATGCGACGAAGGGCAGAGAAGGTTTCCGTAGTGACTTCTCCCTCTAACACTTTGCTATCCGTAACTTTGTCGAATGCCTCTCCTGCCAGCAGGCCCATGATCACCGTACCCCATTGTTGTGCTGGAAAATGCTTGACATACATTTGCACCTGTTTCTCCCATCGGAGATATGGCATGCCTGGAGAAAACTTTTCTGGAGGGGGTAACGGGGGTGTGGAAGGGGCGGGTGTCCGATTTGTTGTCATCTTCTGCATAGTGTCCGACAGGGATTCCAAAGCGGAAGCAATCCTTACCCCCGGATCGGAGGTCACCGGCTGAATTTCACCACCAGACAGTTTACCTGGTTTTGCCATTATCTCTGGATCCTGGCAGGGTCGCCAATTGTAGAATGCAGACAAGGGAGAACCACAAGGATTGAGACGTAAGTTCTATTACGCAACACGTAGGCTCTATAAGAAAGAATCAGTAACGTAGGAAGGGATGAAAGAAAAGTTACAGTCAACTGTTCGCTTCAGGTTTCTGTCCTTCTTCAATAATGGCGCAGGAGTGTCTTTCTGAAATGCAGACAGAAAAGTTGTCGTCAGAGCAACGATTTAAATTCAACCACGCGCCGAACTAGTTTCGATCACTCTTTACATAAGAAAAGCATATTTGCTCGCAAGGTCATGAATTTTCTGAAATCTATGGCGTTTCATTAGTCAAAATGTCTATGCGAGACAGTATTTCCCATTTCAACTATGCATCAAATCCCGCCGATATATCGGACAACTCGATTTTTTTGCCCAATTCGACACTTCGTGCTTGCCCAAAAATTAACGTAATATTTTTGATTCATCCTTTGCAATATGCACCTTTTTTGCTTTATTCTGAAGAAGGCAAACTCTTATGGCTGTAAGATTGTCAGAACACTTCAGGTCCAGCCCATTTTTAGACATACATGTGCATCCATGTATTCCATGAGAGCAGATCTCTAAATGCTAAGGTACAAACTAAACGGAAACGAATGTACCGAGATGTGAAGTAAAGATGCAGTTGATCTAGTGCTTGCATTTTCTCCTTATTCTATCAAATGTGTCGGTGAATTGATGAGTTCCGAGTATTCCATCACCACCATATTTACAGCACCTGCTCGACTACTTCATCTATATTTTATAGTCATCTGATACACCGGTGAATTGAGCCAAGTCATGCAAGTAATATTTCGTCAAACAAAATATGATAATAGCCAGGCCATCGTACAAACAATGTAATAGAACGAACCATCGCGCAAGCTACATGAACACAGATAATGGTTTGTGCGTGACACAGATGTAGTCTTTGAGCTGAGTTCACAGATACGTCTCTGGACACCTATTCGTTAGCACGCTGTTACATGTGTGTCGTCCGCTAAACCGATGAGCAAACACAGACACATACAGATCGATTGACCGATAGCTGATTCGTCCACACTTTTCCTTGTGCTGATTGGTTCCTTTTCGACTTATTCATTTGGTGTAACCTACAAGCTATCTATTACAGTTTTTGACACGTCCCATCCGGTGTGTGTTCTTATTCACTTCTTGCGCAGACTAAGGGTCCGGGTGCGATCCAGCAATACTGGAGTAATACGTATCACACGCCATAACAGCATCATTGTCAAATGCATGGCCATGACAGTCGTCAATGTGACTTCCATCCTCCTCCGATTCTCGCAAAACTAGAGCGTCAATTTCCTCTGCCCTTTTGCTGTTGGTCTCAACGAACCACTCCTCTACCCTCACTTCATTTTCACTCATCTGCTTTTTGTGAGATACATCGGACGGGCTATTGAAAATCTAGCAAACATAATTGCTTACAGCTAAGATTTTCTTTTTCACCTGATTGTACTAAAGTGTTCATCAATTCATTTTGAACGTGGTGCGACAAAGAAATGGTGCTGTCTTTCCTTACCAGCTGAACTGTCAGCAAATTTTCACGAAGAACAGGCTCACACTTGGCCAACAAATGTGCAAATGCTAAAAAATTCTGTATTTTTTAACCTCCTTTGTCATCTTGAATGTTTTCTCGGCGAATACAGCTTCATCCTTTGCTTGGTAAGAACCTTGCCGATATCAAGTATACTAGCTAAATTTCACGCCACTGATTTTCTAAAGCTACTTGCTCCAGTTTGTCAAATGCCATTCCTTCAACTAGCCGGATCGCTACCACTTTGCGATTGAGGAATGACTGAGCACGCGATATACTAGATTAGTGTTTACATGCTTTTGGATTTGGCTTCCACCAGTCGAAAAACTAGACTATCCAGTTGAAGACATCCCGCAGCGGACAACATACAGGGTCTCGGTTGAAGGAGAAGGTATCATGGGTGTCGCAAAGTTTGCTCACAGTTTCGAAAATCCCGAAAATAAAGAATTGGTTTTTAGATTCTCAGCCTCAGCTTGGTATTCGTTCCAGATAGCATCAATTAGTAAATTCATGAAAAGGCGAGTCTTACTGCATGTTCCACGGGTAGCGCCGGTTGTTTTACAAGCAAGTGTGACACTTACATAGAATAAGCGAGTGAAGTCAAAGCGAGAATGCGCTTTATACACACATTAAGGGTGAACATACAGTTCTAATGTGTTCGCACCGACATTAAGTTAGTGCTTAACAAGTCCCGTAATTGGCGAGGGTGTGAACCAAAATGACGCATGCACCCATGCCACGATGAATTGTTGATGTGCTATCCTGTCCGCGCTATATGACGACAAGCTGTCTTCTCTAGGCGTGTTTCTGGGTGTTCGCAGAGGTCAACCAAGTATGTGACCATAAGTGGCTTACCATGATTAAATATGGTTAAACAATGTTTAACATCTTTAACACTTCTGTTCATTGTCCATAAGCTTTTAGATATTTGTGAAACCCTAATTTTATAAGGCACACGTGAAAGTTGGAGCAACCATAGTGACCGATTTGCACGCCTCCGGCCGTCCCAGTTGGACACACGTAACCCCAAAGTGTAGAAATTGGTGCTTCCGGGCAAACGCATAGCGGAAAAAAGCACTCGGGAATGGTCGTAATCATGGTAACAAGCTCCCATAGGAGAATCTCTTGAAGAAGTGTAAAATCACACACCAGTCCATGGAGGCACAGCGAAATCATTGAGGTTTATCAACTAGGGGAGTAAACCATTCTTTTGAGTTGTAAAGCTACGATACACGACACACTCCCCCAGAAACAGTGACTTGCTTAATGATCACTAAAAGGAATTTCATCACGTGAGCTTCCTATTACCAGACATGCAGAAAATGTCCAATATCCATAGTCCACCACAAATGCGATTACTTTATGATCTCACAAAGGTTAGCTTGAAATCTCACCGTACATTCATGCCTCCAAGCAAGGGTGCGACATTGGGAACACTATCCTGTTTTTACACAAGTCACAAGGCCTCCTCAGCAAGTTTTCGGAGTTTAATGGTTCCAAAGTCTCGACGCCCTGGGACATGATCACGTTGTGACCTAAAGTGCATGGAATACACCAATAGGCTTTACGGACACCGCCTTCTCATGCCTTTGGCACCCTAAGCACCTTCGGCACTTAGTCTGAAGAGATCGCCATTCTTCTCTTCGTCTCATTAATGAGACCAATGCTAGAGTACGGCTCAGCCGCATACTGTACTATGACCCAGGTCGAGATGGAAAGGACTAAGCAGGTACAGCATGTTGCCCGCGGGATGGAGCCCCAATTAACGAGGTGCGCCGCGTGAAGACCGGTGTAGGAGACTCTGGCATTACACCCCATCATATCGTCGAATTCGAGTTGACCTCACGATGATACACTGGGAACCACACCAAGGTGATTATCCCACTATGAGACAGTTGGGGCATATGCACGGGCAAACCATCACACGAGGACACGGACACAGACCCGTAGTACCGGATTTGAAGCGGTTCGTCAACAGCCGTTGCTTCGAACGGAGAGTGGCAACTGTGTGGATCAATCTGCCGCAACACCTATTTAAGGCAACGTTGGAGTCGGAAAACAAGAAATAAGTGGACAAAAACTGCTGATATGAAATGCATCGAGAGCACACTAACATAAAGCATATCTGTACCTAAGTGATATTTGATGCATCCATACAGGCATATCTCTGCTTTTGCTTCAAACCAGTAAGCAGTAACGGAAAACTGCCGTCCAACTGATCAAGCTCATTTTCCAAATAGTCTAGACACCAATATTTCAGGTCACTGTTTCTTCCGCAATACATTAAGAGCGGTTGCATTTAAGTCATTCCATATAAGTAACCACAAAAAATATACATATCCGCAAGTGCAGAGAAGCATTCATCGTCGAAAACAAGCCTCCGCAGCATCCTGCATCCAGAAACCTAAACAAAAGGAACTACCGAATAATCCAACAGGACGCGATATCAGCAAGCTTCGGGAAATGCACTCGACGCCATCTCAGAATGTGACTGAATTGTGCTTTCAATGTGGAAGCCCTCGAAAAAGCAGATTGAAAACGTCTCCGGCTCGTACAATAGATCGAAAAACGGTGGTAAGCGGGGCCAATTCGACCGGCATCGTCGAGCCCGCCGCGGAGAAATAGTTGAAAACATATCGAAAGAGTATGGTAACTTACGACCTCGAAAAAAGGGCTTCCTCAGACCAGGTGAATCAGTGAGCAATTGGTGTGGGATTTTATAGCGAACAGGGGCGATAACCGCATTACCTGAGACATGAGCCATGATGTCATTACAGTAACAGTTCGTGATGTCACCTCAGGTGGTTCAATCACAGTGGGAATAGTCCAGGTGTTCATTTGTGCGTCATGACATTGACGCATAAGCCTATAGTGTTGACAATGGGAGTTGGTTTGCACTTTCCAATCTGATCCACGCACCGTTGCTCATCAGGCTGGCCGGCCTAAGACCGCCCGCCACACATTAGGGAGTTCTACCCCCTACATTCTATTCACGCAGTCGTTAGATTTGGCAATTTCTACCACCTCGGCAATCAACCGCTTAGGTCTTGGTCGTATACCCCTCCTAATGACCTTTACGTTTTCGAGGTCTATCTGGTGACCCGTGCCTAATGCATGCACAGCTACGGCCGAGTTTGCCTGGTATTCAAACTCGTTTCTTGGTGGTCTTGAAATGCGTCTCCTGTGCTCCGAAATTCGTAAGCATACTTTTCTCGCTGTTTGGCGTATATACACATGTGCACAGTCCTTACATGTAATTTTATAAACACAGCTAGTCGTCCTATCCTTTTGAAGAGGGTCTTTCAGGTGTGCCAGCGCCGAACGTAGCGTTCGACCTCGCTGAAAGATCACCCTCACATTTTCCTTGTTCAGTACCCTCCGAATTGCCTTCCTTGTACGGAATTCCTACCGTCCTTATCCACTCGGTTGTGGGTCTTGACTGCCGGTGTAGCACTTTAAACAACTGGCGTTTGACTAGCCGCCGTAGGTAACCACTTTCTAATAGTTTGCTCATTGCCACTTTCCGCGCAGCCTTCTTGTCCTCCTTCATCTTGCACAAGGTTTGTGCCCTGTAGAACAGCGCTGAGGCTATCCCAGCGTAAATCTGTTTCGGATGATCCGAAGTGTTGTGGAGTACGCCGTCAGTATCCGTTGGCTTGCGATATATTGTCGTCTTTAAATTTCCCCCATTCCT